TTGGAAGATTAGATACAATTTGAAATTATACAAATTATATAAAAATTGTTTGATGATTATAGATGGCATGAACCATATCGTTATCATCAAATGAGAGAGATCAACGTCATATAGCATGCTTATGTCTGATTGGTCACGGTATTTAACCATATTGGGTAATAAAGATAAAGATATTTTTAGCGTACATATCGATATACGTAATTATATGTACATAACAGTAACTGAAAATTTCTTCACAGAAAGGTTTAATAATTTAATCAATTATCTGACTCCTATAATTTATATTTATGTATACAATAACAATTAACCAGGCTTTTCTTTATGTCGAGAGCTAAATTAAATCTGCATGATATTTTGATATGAATTCCTTTTCACAAAGTAAGAAAGAAACCATCCAAATAGAATTTACTTAAATATTTATCAATACAATCATATCTCCATATAATCACATGAAATTTATAGTGCCAGTTCATATAGAAGATCTATTGTAGTATATTTATGTTCTTGAAAAAAACTGGTGTTATAGAATTTATTAAAAGACTGTGACTATATGGAGGTATGACTGTATTTATATTATCATTCTTTCGAATTGCTCCGTGTAATTATAGTAAACACTTCAAAAAAAGAATTTGCGATTAATTTTCATAACGATAGCAATTATGTCTCGAGTCTTTTATCAATTCCTTCACCTTGCTTTTCCGAACTTTCATTTATTTAATAAGTGATTGTAAATACTCTTCTTGCCATATATTTCTAGTAGTTAAGAGTTCTATACATGGTGATGCTAAAAATAACGAACTTTAAATGATAGAGTAAAAAAAAGCATCGGAAAAAGGGAATCACGACAAAAGCATGTTCACTTTACTCGGAATTACTGCTTATCCAGAGACATAAAAAATGGTTGATTTTCTCGCCAAAAAGAGAATCTGAAATTTTTAACTGGATTATTTAAAGTATATGGCGATAGTATACAAGACTTTATACGCACTATTAAAAAAACGTAATTACTTTTGGATTATATCCCGCGCGATTATATTTCAGCAAACCTGAATTTATGCATCTTATAAGATATTAATTTTCCCCGAATGTGTATACGTATATAGTATACTAACGCGAATCCATGACTAATGATTCTGCTTAGACTCAGGTAAATCCTATCGTTAATTGTTCACGTCATATTGTATATGTAATCAACTACGGAAAAATTTTACTGCAGCCAGGGTTAAGGTTAGGGTTAGAATGGAGATCAAGATTATATGTAAAATTGCCTCACCAACGTTTTTTATTAGTGCACCAAGGTAGATTTAAGCATATGCTTCCTGTATTTTTCACATTTTTCATTTCCTTGTGTCGGATTTGTTTTTGCCAAATATCGATATAAATAATTCGATTTATTGATTTCAATTCGAGAATCGATTCTCAACCCGAAATCTATTATCAATCGATTTTTATTTATTTGCATTAGGAAACATTTGTACAAATGCTCAGTTTCTTTTAATAAACATAATTTGTTCTACCAAATGGCTATTTAATCGATTTTGTTCAGGTGTAATTAACTTAAAATAGACGTTCAGATGGAATTGATGTGGCAGGAATTGTCAAATATTTACGTGCAAGTTGTGAAAGAATTGGGGATAGGAATCGATTCTCAACCCAAACTCGATTCTCGAGCACAAACTACGACGATGGTGTGGTGACGACAACGACAGCAAGAGATGACATAACTGGTCTTTGGGGGATTTTTTCATTGCATGTTAATTTTTGTTGGAATAGTTGAAGTTGTACTTTGATTAGTTGAAATTATAGTTGAATTCGTAGAGATACTACGTGGTAAAGAAAGTACGTATAGAGGCAATTGAAGTATTGTAATTCTGTATCCGTTTCATTACACTTTTGTTGACTGACAGAGTACGAAGTATGTCATGCGTTGTAACATTTGCATTCCGGGGTTTGTATCCTTATTGGTATATGCAATATTGCGCGCGATCAATTTCATCCAATTAGAACTTGAGGAGAAATTATACACATATCAATAAAGAGAGTTGTGCTACTTATCAAAAGTTGTCTTGCAGCTCCATATGTTTTGAAGCTGTAGTAAATATTAATAAAAACGTTTTGCTTTACAACTATTATTAATTATTGGTATTGGCTCAAGATAATTACAAATTAAGGGACTGATTCGATGATCGACTAATTGGTGACAGCTTCTACAATAAAGTTAAACATCAATGAAATTCGAAGAAATATTATCCTCCAATCATACATCAATTGATGCCTCATGTTAAACAAACAAACATGCGGTGTTAGCATGTTAAATAAATTTGTAATGACAAAATCTTTCTTTTAGTGGGAATGTGTGCATTTGTCGTCGCCGATGACAGTCGTCAGTCACGTGTAGAGTTACGGAGTTATATAGGATTGGTCGATCACAATAATTTTGCGATTTTATTGGTCAATCACAACCCAATGATTGTCACCTCAGCGACAAATAGACTCGCCCCTTCTAGCATCTCGAAATTTTATATTACGGTTTGATTTTGTCATTTAAAAGATGAGATGCACAGACATCTGAACAATGGGATTACGTACCACGAGAGCTAAAACACGTTTTCTGTCAGTCAAATTCGTGTCAAGAATCTTCACAAGAACGTTTACATCTTGGCGTAAAAAATAGTAACTTCTCTCCTAGAAGTTCCTTTTCAGGAAATTATCCAAGAAAACCTGTTAAGGTGTATCACTTGTATTCATCCTTACAGAAGAGATATACGTATGTACATGTATAAAATTTGAATTTTGATATTTTGCGTATAACGATAATGATTTATTATCGTCCATTTTATACAAATAAATATAACAATAAACAGCAATTGTAATTTATAACTAGCGACAGTATTTTTGTATCTAAATAAAAATAACATTTCCGTTTCTTTCTTCCTTTCCTTTCTCCCACCCTCTTATTAATCAAATATAACTCGCAAAACTACTAAATATAAGAATACACAAAACAACCTCTCTTAAAAAACCACAAAAGCCGACATTCAATAACAGAAAAAAATATATTATTTTACCTTATCGAAAATTCACAAGCAAAATGGGAAATGGACCATCAAAAATAAAATTCCATCACAACGGCAAAAGCCGAAAAAAATGTTATAATACGCGGCGCAAGAGTTCATCGTCGCTGTCCAGTTGCTCTTCAAGCACAGCATCACGCCAAAATTCGGCGACGTCCAGTGATAATGACTTTTATCGGTTTTCGTATGGTCGACGGTATCAAAATGTCGAAAATGTCAACTATTTTATGGTATGAACCAATTCGTGATCACTGCGTAGTCTAAATGATAAAATTCCTCTTACTGAATGCAAGAAGAATTTTATCATTTGGACTAATACGTTTAGTATTCTGAGTAGAGCTAGCTCACCACGAATCCAAATGGATCGGATTTGTAATAAGCATTATGAATTCAAATTGGATTCGTGGTTAGTTCTAATTTTGATAGATTTTGCTAAGTATTTGTTTGCATTTACTATAGCCGAATGATGAAGATGAGATGGCACGACTACAACTTTTACAGTGAGTTTTATTAGGCTTTACATGATTCTTTCGTTAATTTTCACCATTATTAACTTTGTATAATGACAAATCAATAGCTATCTAGTCAAACTAAATTGGAACTCTGATTTTTCATCGCCGATAACAGAACGATTAAAGTTCGGGAATTTCAAAGTTCTCGATTGCGGGTAATTGTTCATCAAATCAACACATGATCTATTCTTACAACCTATTAACAAAAATGATTTTATCTAAATAAAAGCTGCGGCCCAGGCACATGGGTAATGGAACTTGGATCCGAATACCCAAACTCACATTTCATCGGAATAGACTGCTGCCCAATTTTTCCCACAAGCATAAAACCAGCGAACGTCGAATTTCAATGCACAAACTTGTTAAACAGCCTCCCGTTCGATGACGACACGTTCGACTTTGTGCATATGCGATTTATGGTTGGCTCATTTACATCCGAGCAATGGGAGTCGATTGTCATTCCGGAGTTGATGCGAGTTTGTAAACCGGGTGGGTTTTTGGAGTGTATGGAGTCGGACATGAAGTGGGTGAATAGTGGTCCTGCTACAGAGTGTTTGATTAAGACATGTATGTGACATCATCAATTAGAAAAACAATTTGATTTGATTTGATTAAAGTTTTGTTTTATTTTTTGATATTGATTTTTGATTTTTAATATTCCTTAGCATTTTCATTTCTTGCTTCACGACATATTGAAGGAATAATAAGTCCATATCTACAAGAGTATCTTCGACGAACAGATAGATTGGTTAACATTAATCATGCACATAGAAACATACCGATTGGAGGGTGGGCCGGAAAACTTGGTGAATCGGTAATTAATTTTATATCTACACTTTTAATTACAGTAACTTCATTAGAATTTACAATAATCTAACGTTAAATGCCACGTGTTACAATAAAGGCATTCCAAGTAGCTCAACAAACATTTGAAGCAAGCAAAATACATCTGAGCGAATTTCTCGAAATAAGTCACGACGAATATGACGAGTTGATTCGTATAGCTTGTAGGGAGTTCGACCAATTTCAAACTATGGTCCCGACGTTTCGATTTTGGGCTCAGAAGATTTGATTGGTATTTTTTATACAGTCGCATCCCGTTATAGTCACACTTATAGTCACCCTGTGATTATAACGAGGTTCGACTGTAGTAATACCGATACATGTATATTCAACGTTAACGTTAATAGCGATAGACATGGTTTTAATTTATTAAGAAAATATTTATCGTTATAGTTTAATAAAATTATTATGTACATTATTTTTTGTAAATGCTAATATTATTTAGCCCTAGGAAAATTTTCGCTTTGATTTGTAAGATCTTTCTTAATACCATTTTATGAATATGTGCCTTTTGGTGAAATATACAACGATATCTCATATAACTATAATAATAATGATAACGATAATGATAGCGATAACAACCCAGAAATACTTTTCGAATACATACCGATACAGTACCGCAGAATTTTTTACTACCGCTACACGTGTAATTGTCCATATCGGTGTACAAGTATCAAGTGACTGTAATACAAAGACACTCGATATATAACGATAACGACCATTAAGTAAAATCGCGCGCGTTAAAAGGAACCAGGATTTTACAGAAGGTCGTTAAATAAACTAATAAATAATTTGAACATTTTAAAAATTTTCTACCCGGAGGTGTTCGTTATATCGAAAGTGCTTTTCTACATTTACAATTTAGGCAAAATAAAACATATATATTACGGCTTCCAACCATTATATGATCTCTTAGACGATAATAGAATTAATACTACAACATAGACCAAGAAACATATTGTAAATTTGTATAAAAAATATTGGTCGAGTTTATTACAAATGACCAAATAAGAGTCTCACTTTTATATCTCCAATCAATTCAATTAGTTTGATACAAATCGCAAATCTCGACAAAGCAGCCTAACGCTAATTGTTGCACATCAAAATCAACATACATACATGTATTTCATTCAACATAAAAAAATAAAGATGATCTTTATCAGCTCATTCGCCACGAATTATCATCCTAAATTAGACATTAAAAGACGAAATTATGCTTGGCAATTTTTTCATCTAACAAATTCAACCAATGCCATATGATCTGTCCGTTTAACCACGTTGATAAAGCATTTGGTTCTATTTAATTAATCACAGAAAAAACAAGAAAAATATAAGAACTTATTTTCGCTAAGGGATGTTAAATGTATAAATAAATGAAATTTTTGACAACTAAAATAATCTCTCTGTAACGGTAACAACTAAAATAGCAGCTTACCGCTTTTTCGAATTGGAAACTCATTTGAATAGATTATGATCCGATTCGATTCTATTTCGTCGAGTGGATATAATTTTTCGCCGTCGAATGTCAGTAGTCTAGGACTTTAAAATAAAAAAAATCAATGTTAGAAGACAATCTCAAACGAACCTACGCTTTTAGGACTTCAAAAATAAGAATTAAATACCTCGTAATATCAAAAACTCGATACACGATTTTATACACTCCGCATTTTGGAATATTAAGCTCCGAAAATACAAAATATATACCATTCCGATTCTCAAGATCCATCAATTTATACGGAGTTTCCATACAATAATCGTAGAATTTCTCTCTAGTGGTTTTTATCCAGCTTTTCGTATTGCTGTTGTCTTCGTCATTATCATCTTGTAGCATAACAATATACGCTACAACAATTAAATTTGAAATATTTATGTCCCTAGTAATATTGCGATAACAATAACAAAATATTGTTTACTTCTAAAGACAACAACTCTTTCCTTTTTATGAGTAAGGGGTTTGAAAAACAAAAAAATTCTTACTCGGGATTTATTGCCCCTAATGCATTGTAAGCTGTAAGTTTAAGAATTGGCTCAGGCTCAACGAAAGAATCAATTTGACCTTCGAACGGATGCTGTACGAATTCTAAGATATAATAAATGCTACTGATATATGCCATGTATTACGTCAAATTTATGTAAATAAGTGAAGAAAACGTTATTGAGTTATATTTAATAATCGACGAGAAAAGCCGGAGAAGGGGAGTCAGAAAAAATTAGTTTTCGAAAAAAGTGGTCTTTTTTGTTTCAAATAATCATCAGCATATGACAGTTTTTATGATCATATGATTACAATAAGCAAAAAAACATGTATGCGGGACGAATTTATTTTTCAACATTGCATTATTATCAACTATACTGCTTTTGAAGATGATATATTTTATTTTCGCGCACAGCTGCAATGAATTGCATAAAGAAATCATCGATTAGGCTGAGTGTTAATTAATGCCTGTTCTGATTGTTCGCTCTTGTTGAAAGCGTTCATTGAGTTCGAACTTGATTAAAGCTTGCTTTTCATTCGTCCATGCATTGTGACCTATTCTGAGTTTCCCGAGAAAAATCCAAATTTTTAATCGACTCTCAGAACAAAATAAAGTTCAATGGCATAATAAAATAATGACAATGTTGTTCGAAAATATACAAAAAAAAATGCAGTTGGAGTTTTTATTTTTAATGCTTTATTGTTAGAAACAAATAATAACGATAAAAAACAAAACGGCATAAAAAAAGCGCGAAACCAGACCGAAACCGAAAACCTTATTTTTGCGCAACGAGAAGTGTCTTATCAAAGATCTGGACTTTCAGATATAGATCATTGCTCGATTTTGTATTCTATCTGCAAAAATGCAAACTGCATGCATGTTACCTTGAACTGTTGAACTGTGCCATTGCTTTCCGAATTTAGAGTACAGGACTACAGTATCCATAAATATTCTATTTTGAACGTTATCGTTATCGTTATTATTAATTTAAAGATTAGCTAAATGCCAGTACGTAACTAAAATCGAATTACGTACAGTAGTTCGAGTATTGAATCATCCTATATTGGTTCTTGCGCCATTTTATTGTTTTTTCACAAATAGCGTGCATCCATTATCATTATTAAAAAATTAGATATTACATGCATGTACATACCGCCTAAAGAAAGATACGCATCATACGTACTTATAAATATACGTATTAGCGTTAACGTTTGATACCTACCGTAGTTTGTGATAACTTTTTTAGAACATTTCAATTCAAGTATAATGGAATGTTAGAAAACAAATACGTAAATAGCCTCGACAATAATAATAATTAATTAAAAATTTTCTTTATGATTCTCTCTTTTATGCGTTAAAAGAAAATCCAACGAAGTTACATAAGCACAGATTACTTTAACATGCCGATATGATCTTTAGGAAACGGAATTGGTATCCAAAATTAGTTATTCCGTGGCCTAAACTGAATTTAAATTATTATTATGACGTAATACATGTATAATCAAAATAGACTCTTAAATAAAAAGAAGGTTAAGATACCTTTTTGCAAATTGAAAGATGAACGTAAGCAAAGTAAGACTCGGATTTTTTGAATTTATTTGCAATTTTTTTGATTTTCTAAAATTTTTATTCGGAGAAAGGGTTTAATTTTAAATCCCTAACTCTAAATTTAGCCTCGCAAAAATAAAGCAATTAATGAAATTACAGAGCAATGGTTGATAATAGTGATTTTTTCAATTCCAATTATACAATAACAGAAGAAGATTGGAAGCATTTTGATAATAACGGACGATTATAGCAATGAATCAATACCGTATTTTGCGGAATAAAATCCCCCCCTCCCCTAAGCATAGTATGTACTCCCTTTCCTTTTTGGTGATTTGAATGTAAAAAACCTGGGTGCATATGTTAGTAAAAAACAAAGTGATCATAATTACGTACATGTATATAATATTCTCCTAACATAATAATCTCCCTTAATATCCAAGCACAGTATTCTCCCGTCATACATGTACTCCGGGTACAATAGAAATTGTATAGTATCACTGGGCTTTTATTCTGCAAAACACGGTACGTACTTTAGAAATAACATCAATGATAAATTTAAAAGCATCAGATTTATTGATAATTTGTACCGTCTTCCTCCTACATATTCACACAGTATTGCATATGAATTATATGCACATATTTAAAGAATACGAGCATAAAAGAGAGGTTGTCCATTTTACTACACATGCGGACTTCGCAGAATTCATAATAGGAAGTAAATTCAAACTTAATCCACAAATATGACACTTTAGGTCTTTCTTGGTCATATTTGTGGATTTTTCTGTTGACGATGGTAAACTTGTAGTTTATTTGGTCAAGTGACCATACACGTTACATGAGAATTTACAGCAGAATCAATTGCTGCGCAAAATTCAGTAAGCTGGACACTAGGTTGTATAAAGGTTTTTTTATTATGCTAATGTTTGGTCAAAATAATGGTATGATTATATCGAGGTTTTGTTAGAATGTGATTATATAAGAGGTAACTACATGGGAAGATGACTGAATTAAAAGAGTAGCATCTATTTTTGGGATTGTGATATCGATATGTAGACATTATCGTTATGTTTTAGAACTTTGGCATTTAGGCATTTGGGATTTACGTAATTAGGTAATTAGGACTTTCGATTCATCGTTATTATCTTTTAGGGCATTTGCTGAAACCGTAACTTTTAGAAATTTGATTTTCGACCGCAGCTATACACTATGCTAATCAACATGTCTAAAGTAAGTGTTATTTTATATTTTTACAAATAAAAAATTATTCATGGTGTCATCCAATCGCCAGCTAGTGTTTGGTATATTGGTGAAGAATTTACTGTTGAATTTTTGGCATGTTTTTAAAAAATATTTCTTTGATTAAAAAATCAAGTGCAGTATGCTTTTTAGCTAGGATTGGAAAATCATTTATCATATGGACAATTACGTATGTAAATCGAAAAATTGGAGTTTATCACAAAACCTCTGCATCTGGTTTAATTGATGATTGTTTCTGTTCTGAAGACCAAAATAGATTGATTCGATCTCGAATAATTGCTAAATTTAACATAACAGTAAGATTTTTTATTAGTAGTTTTTTTATACAAATTACCATCTTTAAGAAGAAGCAACTAATGCCAAACGTATTAGCCCTGCCACAGTGGGGATTGCGAAACTAAGACGAGAAGTTTACAGAGAAACCTCTCTAAGTGCACCCCTTGTGACCATATTTAGAGAGGGTGTGCATTTAGAGAGTAAATAACTAAAGGGCTTATAAGTTTGGGACTGAGCCATAACGTGCATTTAGGGAGGCTGTATATAGTGTGTGCATTTATAGAGGATGCACTTAGGGAGGTTTCTCTGTAAATTTTTCGTCTACATTAGTCTTTAGGAGAAGATACGAACATTTCATTAGTTGCAAATTCAACCAATTGAAGTTTCGCATTAATTTCAAGAGAAAAAGTCATAATGTATAGAATAGCAAACTGCCTCTTTTTATACACAAAATACATGGCTTTTTTTAGCTAGTTAAGTTAGTTGCGCTGTATAGAAATTTCTAGTTCAGGTATATTTTGTGCTGTGTCTTGGCACAAATATTCCAAAAACTTTAATATTATCGTTATGTTTAATTGTCCTGGCTTAAGACTAAATCACTAACGCTAATGCTATTTTACGCTAAAGCTTTGTCCTCTTCGTGAGCAGATACATTTGTGTTGTGAATTTATATTACAACCACAATTTGTGCAAACTACGACTCCAAACTATCGCCTTAGAAAAAATTAGACACAGAAACGTAGGAGTAAGCTCAATAAATTCTTTGTACTTGGTCTTTACACTGATTGGTAATAGATGTTTTTCAAACTAGATAATTCTTGAAATTAACAGCAATAGCTCTATCAACCGTTTTACCAATGATATTGCTTTAATAAGCCTATTTTTCTTTTTACTATTAATTCTCATGTGCTCTTTGCTGCTGGCGCTGTAACAATAAAATCATGATACATGTATTTCGTACGCGGGGTAGTGTACGACTTTGTAATGTTTCAAATGTTGTGGGGTTCACCTTTGACTTTGACACCTTGACAAATCAAAATTTAAATCTATGCACAAGTCTCAAGCGCAAAGCAGAGGGAAAATATCAAAGACAACAGATTTCTTATCAACACGGGATATTGTGAGAGGCATAACTCCATACTAGAATGAACGAGTCACAGCATAGTCACAGAAGTTGTGACTACAAACAAAGATAGACTATGTCGACTTCATTCAATGCATTTTCAAATCAACGGTTTAAAGCTCGCGGTGATCGATATGTATATTAGATGCTTAATTTTTGATCTAGTATTTTTTCTCGGTTGTTTACTACTTATTTGCTCAGTATACCCCTGGATGGATTTTCTACCCTATTTTTGAACTTGAAATAGGGTATGTAATACAATTAATTTTATAATGTAAAAAATGTAAAATTATCGAAGGTCTAAATAATTAATTTTTTTTAAAGCTTATTTCAATAAATAAAGTAACGTAGTATCATATGTTATTTTTGGGGAAAATCCATCCAGGGGTGTTGCTTATACACGGCAAAATACGGTATTTGTAATTCATTCCAAAGCTTGCATACGGAACTTGCGGAAATGTACGGAAGAATTTCAGACACACTTTTTCATAGAATTATAATAGTTAATCAAATTAGGGCGCAACATAAAATAAAAAAATGTATACCATCATTAAATAAAATTAGGATACCCTAGCCATGGCGAAAAAAAAGTTACGGGTCATGTGATATCCGGTATGTCCAGAAAAATTCTACGGTAATAGAGATTATTGTTAAAGGTTAATTTAAAGGTTAGGGTTAAGGTTAGACCTGTGATCAAATTTATATATAAAATTGCCTTCCCGACATTTTTTGTTAGTCTATCAAATTAGATTTAGGCATCTGTTTCCCGTATTTTTTACATTTTTTGCTTTTTTCATTTTCTTGTGTCGATTTGTTTTGCCGGGCTGATCAAAAATTTATGCATTTTTATTGGTTTGTGTCACTAGTAAATCAAAAATTCACGCATTCCTATTGGCGACAGACCCGTAACTTTTTTTTCGCCATGGCTAGGGTA